TATTGGCCCTAGAGAGCCAGACCTCAGGCCTACGTGTTAAATGGTTGGCCATTGCCAAAATAATGGGTGGAGCCCTGGGGCTGTAGTAGATGGTGGGAGGAGTAATCCTTCCCAGCAATAAGTTGGAAAAACTAAATTTCATCAGTGTGTCTTGGGAGTGTATTAGGAACAGGGCCGCAAGCCCGTATCCTCGGGGCTGAGGGCAGCCATCAACATCGTGGAGGTAGTGCGGGTATTTAAGGTAGAGTAGCACTTGAGTTTTTATGTCCTCGGTAAATATCCATTGTGCCTCTAGGGAAATAGAATAGGTGATGTGTTCAAATTGTCTTAATTTACATGTTTCATAAAATAAATTGTATAGCTTGTCCAGTGGTATTCACTTAACTCCCCTTTGATATATTTTGCTACTTTGTCATTTTTAGGTGTTGTATTGGAAGCCCCCATGTTCTCCTACTATTAATAGATACTAAAGTTGCCCTTGGATTCAAATAAGTAACGTAAATTACACAAACTAATTTTCCAAAATTTATTTCTGAAGTTCATATTACCCGGAGTCCCATGGTTACTGATTCCTTGCCTTCCTGGGGGATCGGTGACAGACACATTCAGGTATGGTTGGTCGGGAAGGTGGTGGCAGTGTTAATGTGTTTTGTTATTGTTTTAACTAATAACCCTTGTCCTTGGTGTATCTTCCTCATTTAATATTCCTCTTACATACGTGGCAGTCCAGTGAGGGGTCATACTGGACTGTAACAGCGTTAAGCTGGGGTATTGAGTGAAGAGAGACGGAGAATTACAACAGAGAGCGTATATTACGATTATGAGAGATCACAAGTTAACAGGAGTAATACTGGGGAACATTGGGTTATTACAATAGAGGCCGCGGTTATTACAGAGGGAAGCGGTCGTTACACGGAGTCCACCGGAAAAGCAGGGATGAAAGGGGCCCGCTGGCACGACCCAAAAGTTCCAGCAGGAGGAACAGGCTCAAATGTCTTCACCACCAATCTGGAAGGGGGAGCAGTTCCTGAAGACACCCAAATCTCACCACCAAGAAAACCCTATCCCGACTCTGAAACCTTAGGCAGGCTTGGGTGGGCTCTTATATGGGTGGTCTTGAGTGGTTTCAGGTGGGTGTGCAGTCTTGGGTGGGTTTGGGCAGGTGGGCAAACTTGGGTGGGTTCTTCTTTGGGCAGTCCTGGGTAGTTTCGGGCGGGCGGGCGGGCAGTCTTGGGTGGGTGTGTAGGCTTGGGTGGGTTTCGTTCTTGGATGGGTGTGTAGGCTTGGGTGGGTTTGGCCGGGTGGGTGGGCATTCTTGATAAGGTTCGGGCAGGTGAGTGGGCGTTCTTGGGTGTTTTAAGACAGGTGGGCGGTCTTGGGTAGGTTCGGGTGCATGGGTCTTATTGGGTGGTTTTGGGTGGGTTTGGGCAGTTGGGTGGGCTTTTTTTGTGGGCATGGGTATGGGCTGTGGGCTGTCTTGGGTGGATGTGGGCAGGCTTGGGTGGATTCAGGCGGGAGGGTAGTCTTGGATTAGTTCTGGTGGGTATCAGGTAGGAGGACCGTTCTTGGGTGGGCAGGCTTGGGTGGTTTCGGGCGAGTGGGCTGTCTTGGGTGGGGGTTCGGGTGGGTGGGTTTAGGTGGGTGGGCATTCTTTTTGGGCAGGTTTGGGTGGTTTTGAGTGGGCTTGAGTGGGCTTAGATGGGCTTGGGCGGGTTTGGGCAGTTGGGCGGGTTTGGGCAGTTGGGCGGGTTTGGGCAGTTGGGTGGGTTTGGATAGTTGAGTGGGTTCTCTTGGGTGGGTTCAGGCAGGTGGGCAGGCTTTGGCAGGCTTGGGTGGCAGGCGGACTATCACAGACTAGCTGTGGTGATGCCACATCCCCTCAGCTCCCCCAAACCAGCTACATCTTACCCCCTCCCCATCCCCATACTATATCCTCCCAGATATATCCCCAACCAACTACACATAAGGGGCATAACTGGCCGACCCCTCACAGTGTTCAAGAGAGAACTGGATAAGCACCTCCAAAGGATACCTGATCAACCAGGCTGTGACTCGTACGTCAGGCTGCGAGCAGCCGCGTCCAACAGCCTGGTTGATCAGTCCGGTAACCAGGAGGCCTGGTCGACGACCGGGCCGCGGGGACGCTAAGCCCCGGAAGCACCTCAAGGTAACCTCAAGGTAACCCTTCCAGGTGTGTGTTGACTGTCCGAATGGAATTAACATGGTTCAAATTCTCGGCTTCCTTCCTACCAGATACCAGATTCTAGGCTTCCTGCCTTGGAGGTAGACTGCCCTGACTGACTGCACTGACTGACTGACTGCACTGACTGACTGCACTGACTGACCTGACCTGACCTGACCTGACCTCACTCACTGACTGCCCTGACTGACTGCCCTGACTGCCTGCCCTGACTGCCTGCCCTGACTGCCTGCCCTGACTGCCTGCCCTGACTGACTGCCCTGACTGACTAACTGACTGACTGACTGCCTGCCTGCCTGCCTGCCTGCCTGCCTGCCTGCCTGCCTGCCTGACTTATATACAAGAAGGTACATTGGGTTTGTGAGAGTACATAATGTTGGAGTTTTGTAAACAACATCAAACTTATGTTGTTTACAAACTGTGACTGGTTGCTACCACAACTGTGAATGCCTAACTGTCTTTGACTGTGAATGCCTAACTGAGTGTGACTTGACTATGGCTGCTGCTGACTGGTTGTAACTGACTAGCTCTGACTACATGCTGTGTAACAGAAGAAGAAAAATCTGTGAAGGGAAAATGTAATCACTGGCCTAGTGAGGGCAAGGTTGTCACAACAAACACAATACTGGCTTCCAGTTTAACTCAATACAGTATTCCGGAGTTAACAGCCAATGACCATGAAAATAAGGCGCCAGTTAACAATCTAAAAATCAGTTGTTAGAACAGGCAGAACGGTAAATAAAAGGTCGTTAAATCGATTAGATATTGCCAGCCAGCCAGAGTGGTGATTGATATGATACTATATTCTGGTACTGACATAGACATGTCTGCTCAAGATCCTCCTGGGGTTTCTGGTAGTGTGGTCAAGATGCTCAGGGAACCACTGCTGAACAAGAGGCACATTCTAAACACTGACAATTATTATACCAGGCCAAAGACAGGCCTTATTATACCAGACAGTGGCAAAATGAGATTTGGAAGACAGGGAAAAGTGAATAAACCAGATAGCGTCATAGACTACAATATAAATATGAGATTGGTAGATAAATGTGACATGATGGTTGGTGCTGTTGAGTGTGTTCAGAAGAGTGTTAAGTGGTCCAATAAATTGTTTTGTCACCTTAAGGATATAACATTGATGAATTGGTACAAAATGTATTTGGTGAAACCAGGCAAGAAACCACCAACCCATAATTTTAGTCTTGCCCTATTGTCATAATTACTCCTGAAATTTGGCCAAGAAGAGAGTGCTAGGACGAGAGTTTACATACCAACAATGCCTTATGCAGGTCCCAACAGACTGGTTTGTAAAGACTCCCTTCCATTACACAAAACTAGTTACATACCAAGTTCAGGAAAACACGCAAAAGGTGTACGCGAGTGCATTGTTTGCAAGCACACAAAACGAAGAGCTATGAAGCAAAAATCTGTGTACCTGGTGTGTTGAATGCAAAGTTGCCTTATGTTACATGGACTGTTTCACTGATTATCACACACTCATGAAGTACTGAGTGTGTAATATAGTGTGATTGTGTAAATACAGTAGTGTGACAGTGTAAACAGTCAAGAGAGTAATCACACTAATGTGATGTATCAATGAGAAAATTCAAAGGAGCCATGATGAGGATTTGAACCTATGCAGTGGGTAATCACACGCACATGCCCCAGACAACCAGACCACGATATGGTAAAAGAATGGCAACCTGGAGTTCTACTGAACACACGAGAGTTTCCTGAGGCTTCCACTTAAGCCGGAATTTATTGTTTATTATTTATTTAATGTTTATTGTTGCAATATTAATTGTTCAATATTCAATTCATTAACATTACCAGTATTTACACTCGGAAAATCCTTAAAACCTGTGACGAGGATTCGAACTTATGCTGTTGGTACTCCCACACACATGTCCCTGACAACCAAGCCACAACATGGTAAAAGGATTGCAACCTGGAGTTCTATTGAACACACGAGGGTTTCCTGAGGTTTTCACTGAAGCTGGACCAAGTTTTTCACACAATACCCCCATGCACTCATGTGATTATTCTTCTTATGTTAATGTAATCACTCTGTGTATTGAAAGAGGAGCATCAGAGGTAGAACATTCCAAGATGACAAGAGTGCATGGGGGGGATTGTGTGAAAATCCAGGAAACCCTCGTGTGTTCAATAGAACTCCAGGTTGCAATCCTTTTACCATGTTGTGGCCTGGTTGTCAGAGACATGTGTGTGAAGGTACCAACAGCATAGGTTCGAATCCTCGTCACAGTTTCTAAGGATTTTCCAAGTGTAAATACTGGTAATGTTAATAAATTGAATATTAAATAATTAATATTGCAACAATAAACATTTTTAGTGGACACATTACTGAAACATGTATCACAGTTCCTTGGAACATTATGAACGTTCAAATCTGTAAATATTGTAAATGACATACATATGCATCAGATAAGATACCAAAAAATTAGGAAGCCATGAAAATGCCCTGAAAACAAACAATGCAAATATATTTGTGGCAATTCGTGAGTGCTGAATTGCCTGTGCGAGCAGCTTCTGGAGAGCTTCTGTGATGTCATCAGTCATCTTCTCCACTTCATTACAGATAAAGTAAGTGCTTGATTGTGATGTTGCTTATATTATTGTGATTAGGGAAGAGAGTTTAACAATATCAGAAACAAAATTGAGGGAATAATTTATTTTCAGCGCACCACAGGTTTGCCATATTTTATAGCTGCGAAATACAGTGGTTCAGAAACTAATTGCCAAGAAAATACAGTATAGAATTCACATAAAGAAGTCTCACCTTCACTGCTTGTGCAATTGCAGCTGCAACTCTGAAGCGTTGGGCCATGTTGTGCGGTAGTGAAGTTGGTAAATCACACTCACTGTTGATGCTCCGAATGCAACGCACCACTCCACTTACAACTTCTTCATGCCCAAAATCTCCAACACTCTTCACTTCTTCACCTATGTCACTGAAAATGTACAAAACAGTATATTAAAATGTTAAGTAAATTAAAATTATACAACCACTAGTGTATGTAACTCTCTTTAACCCTTAAATGGCGCATGGCTATATACCATTTGACACCCACAGGCGCATACCAAAAAAAAAAAAAAAAAAAATTATTTTTTCTTCCTAACCTGTTAATTTGTGTTCACTGATCATGGGAAAAATAATAAAAAAATCGTAAGTGGCATATATTGCCCGCTATAGGGCGGGGAAGTCTGGCAAAACACAGGAGCTCACTCAGTGTGCGTCTCAGGCGGTCTGTTGATCGCTAGCTGTCAGCCCAGAGTTGCCACAAAGAGATAATTACCTAATTATTTCAATGTCTCTGATTGATTTTTCATAGTTTTTTGCTGTAATATTATTCAATAGTGTGTAGTTTGATATATTTATATAATAAAATGAGTGAATCATCGCTGTACTCATAAATATGGTGTGCATATTGTTGATTCAATTATGTTTATCAATCAGTGAACAAATACTTTGTTGGTTATTACACTAAATACACAGGTTATATATAAGTATCTGCATGTTTTGTTCACCATAACGAACCACTAAGTTGCTATTATGAGTCAAAAAGTAACGAGGAGTGACCGCCGTGTACCAGCCAGCCACTCACGCCCTCCCTCAAGTCATCTGATTCACCCACATTCTCCTCCCACAATACTGTTTTTGCTCTTATATACAGACGTTATATATAAGTATTTACATGTTTTGTTCACCATAACTTTACATCTAAGCTTGTATGGTGAGTAAAGGCACAAAGACGTAGGACCTCACACAGTCAGCTGATGGCTGCCGCCCTCAAGGTCAGACGCACTAATATTTCTCCTCCAACAATACTATGTGGTGTTATTACGCTATATACACACATTATATATAAATATCTACCTGTTTTATTCACCATACTTGTACAAGTAAACTGGTATGGTGACCAAAGACCATCGTGGTAACCAGTAAACAACACCGTCGTCTGCACGGTGGCTTCGTGCAGACGACGCCACCTCCCTCACCAAAATGGCGGCTCCCAACCTACTCTTGCTGTTTATACCCTCTATACACACGTTATATATAAGTATCTACATTTGTGTTCACCATAGCGAACCACTAAGCTGGTATAGTGAGTGCAGTCAATAAAAGGTGGCCACACACAGTCAGAAGACATCGCCACTACCCTCCCTCCCACAGCATTACTCCTCCCTCCATGGCGCACAGCGCTAAATATCACCACAATCCTGCTATTATCAGAACCCTGGTCAGTTTTATCACAGTCAGGGGTCTTCTGTAATAATATCATCGCTACATAATAGCATAAACAAGTATATTATGGCATTTTTAGGCGATGCTGTGGTCACAAGCTGAACAGCAGTGCTGTGAGCTCATGCTGCGTGCGTCAGGCTTGGTAGCTCACTCAATACTGAGGCCCTTCACACCCGGGAATTTGGCCCACGATTTTTTTTTAAAATGGCGTCTGTTTACAAGAGCCCTGATGAAGGTGTGGTGAACCCCGTGTATCCGTGGGCCGTTTAAATCTTGCGTAGTACTCCAAAGCATCACATGATGCGATGCACAATTTACTGCAAGTCGGTCAAAGCATCATATAATGCGATGCGCAATTGAATGGTTAAATGTGTAATGTATCTGATTCAACTATAAACAGAGGTCTGAACTCTTCCTCTGTTCCTTAACAGAGGAGCATTAAACACACAGTATTAAGCTACAGTACTGCATTTATTTATGGTATGTTTATGGTGCCGGAGTAGTCATAAGACAGTGCTTGAACAATGTGGGTCAAATGGTCAGGCTGGAGATAGTCTGTAGGTAAGGCAGTTGTTGTTGCAATGGCAGTGCTGAGGCTGGTGCAAGGAGAAGCAGGGGGATTGTTATGATGACTCTCACTAAGAAAGCAGACACTAAAAAAACCAGCGTTGAATGTAATAAAACGCCATTTTCTGGGTGAGACCCGGAGGCTCCCCGGAGCTTTACCGGCTGATATGCTAATGTCAGACTTTGGCATCAGTCATGTGTATGGAGTTCTAGGGCCTACCGGGGACCACGGCCAGAACCTGGGCCCCCTCAGAGAGGCAAGGGGAGCAATGGCCTATAGAAACCCCCCGTGTGGTTGGAAGCATTCTATGTCTGCCATCGACCGGGTCAAGCATCCAGAAAGGTAAGCATTCCAAAACAAACCCCTATTCTGGTGAAAATTGCTACCTAAAGCCGAACTAGTGGATAGAACTCTTCAACAGAAAACAAGGAAACTAGTATGACGTCATACGTCACCGCGCCGCTGTCTGCGCAGCTCCTCCCTTCCCGGGAGGGGGAAGGGGGAGCCCCAAACCTCCCACGCCGGCTATCCACCCATCAGTTCTGAGGCTGGATGTCAAAATACGCGAAAAAAACGCCGACCGGAGGGAGGGAGGGTTGCCAGGGAGCCTCCGGGTCTCACCCAGAAAATGGAGTTTCATTACATTCAATGCTGGCTTTCTGGGGGGAGCCCTGTCGGCTCCTCGGAGCTAACTACCCACAAAGGAAGGTCAAAGGGACAGAACCGGGAGGCGGACACCACGCACCCCCCCACGGAGGCGAGACAACCGGCAGCAAACGCCAACCCAAGGCGCCACAGCCCCGAAAAGTCCCAGGAACAAATCGAGAACGAGCAGCAAGGCCCATGCACGAACACCAAAAATCCATGCCCGAAAGACCGCAAGGCCACGTCGCCCAGACGGCAGCGAGAGCAGCGAAGCCATGAACGCCACAGGCATGAGGGAAGAACACAGGCAGCTTAGCCGCAAGAACACGGCTGACCACCCGGGACACCATCACCCGCGAACCGGGAAGAACAGAACCGGATCAACGCAAAACGCGCTCTGGACCCAAACGCCGTGGCACGCAAACAACAGCGGAGGGCCGCCACTGAACACAAAAAACGACACAACCCCGGCCCGACCAACGAAGCACCAACAAACCCTGGATCCCTCCAGAACGCAGCAGCCCCACCCCGCGCCAGAAAAGATGGAGACTGCTGCCACCGAACAACCAAAACGCAAAAACCGAAGGAGCAAGAAAACTCAGCGACTCGACCCCCAGAGGCAAAGGCCAAAAGGAAAGAGCCGACGAAAAAACACACCGAAACCGAAGGGGCACTACCAACCGAGGAGAAGACAGAGCACGCTGACCAGAGACCAGGATGGTGCAAGCGGCTCACAAACAGGCCGGAGGTGAAACGATGCACAAGACAGCTTACTAACGGTGCAGAAGCAACACCAAGACCGAAAGCAGGCTGAAGCGGCTCCGCCAGCGCTGCACGAAAAGAGGCAACAGTATGTGGCAAGACGACGGCCCCCAACCCCCATCAGAAAACCAAGCCGAGAGTAAACCAAGCTAACAAGAGTAACCACCTAAGAAGGGACAGGAAAAGGAAGTACCGCCAAAATACCTCATACTGCCGCCAAGAGAAGCACGCAGGTGGGACACCTACCACGAAGCCACCCGACCACCAACCGGAGGCGAGACCGCGAGGCAGAACATAAGCAGCCTCGACAAGGCCCCTCCGAGCCCAGGAAAAGGCGGAGCCACGGGAAGATCTCGGGCGCGACCACCGAAACCCAGGCGGCACAAGGAGATGGAACGTCTGCCGAACAGAAAAACTCCCCAAAGCATGCAAGCCCGCCAGGAGTTCAGAAACGACGGATCCAACGCGAGACATCGCAAGACCCCCCCCAAAAAAAAACGGCAGGGCAAGCTAGGAAACCAAAGAAGGCGGAAGGGTCGCCGCCAGAACAGTACCCGAACCAAGGGGTACGAACAACTGCAATAGACCGAGACAAGGAAGCACATCACAGGACACAGGCAGAAAAACGCCTAAGAACACACGCAGAACACCCCTGCTGCAGAGGAGGCAGGAAGAAAGAGCAGAAGCACAAAAACCCCAGGAAAACAACCAGGGGGTGGACAATCAGGCAGGGACAGAAAAACCCCCACGCAATCCCCAGGCACAAAACAGCAGCAAAGTGCCACGCCACAACCGGACACAGGAACAAGGACACGCCACCGTGAAACACGGTACCAATGAACACGTGCAGCAGCAGCAACAGGCACCACTGCAACATGCAACATGTAAATAGCAACTCCCTTCTGCAAAGGCAGAGAACGGAGCAGGCAGACCCCAGACAGGGCCAACGGAGACACGACTAAACCCCGCAGGCCCAGAAACCTGCACCAGGCGACCGACGGCGGAAAAACCCCTCTCGATACCTGCTGGAGGAGGTACTGGGAAATCTTTTACACCTCAAGCGCGGCCCAAGGCCAGGCTAGACCGGCCAGAGGGTGGCCCACCAGGCAGCTGCTAGGAGCAGTCCACCGGCCCACATACCCCCACAACCAGGATGGGCCGGAACTGTTATACGAAAACAGGCTAGTGTGCCCTGGAAGTCCACGGACGAACCAGCAAGAAAGCTTATGCTCGCAAGTAGGTCGTGTAACAAGCACAGACCTCTGATGGTAATACAGTGTTCCCCTAATGTGCCAGTAGCACCACTGCACTCCACTGGTACTATCCCGCAAGTTCTACCAGATAGGCGGTACCCAAGAGCCAGAGCTCAAACCCTGCAAGCACAGCCAGGAGCCTTACCAGGTGAGTACAGAACCAACCCTACAACCCCCCCCCCCACCTCACAACATTAAAAAAGGTGGGTCCCCTGAATGACTCCAGCATGGGTTGGACATGCACATGAGGGGGACAGGAAGGGTTGAAAGAGGGACAGTCACTGGTGTGCGAACGGCCTCAGTCGTACAAAAATATACCTAAATAAAGACAGGTATATAAACAACTCCGCATCCAGCGCCCGGCCAAAGGACGCCAGACCGCAGAAACTCACCTGGCGAACGGTGGCACGAACTTGACACGACTCAACCGTGCCCAGAAGAACCTGGGAGCACCGCCAGGTGAAGACGCCAGAGCCG